TAAATGCCAGTGAACACACGATTGTCTTGGTGTATGATGTTTTCACATTTCATTTGATTTTTAGGAGGTTAGGATAAGATATTTTATTTTATCCGAGGACATTATCAGTAGTTCAGGCGGATGAGGATGGGAAGGATTTGTGATTACAGGATTACAGATTCTGGTCTGGAGAAGACTGATGGTATGTTTTGTGTGTGTGTGTGAGAGAGAGAGATTTTAGCTCAATTTTAATATATTTAATCTTATTTTTCTGTCACTCTTTCATGCAGTCTGTATTCTCTCTTCCAGCTTCTCTTGTGATTTGCTCTGGACATGAAGCTCAGGTAAGTATCAGTTTTGTGTAACCTGGTTAATGACCAGGTATTATTATTATGTTTTTCAGAGACCAGTAGTCAAAATGCTTTATGCTCGAGAGGACATATAAAGTTGCTCGCTTGCTTAAAGCTGAACATTTTTCAAGAATTGAAAGGCTATTCGTGATGTAAGAAATCATCACTTTACAATGGGGTGACAAGTGTCCTTAATTTCATCCATTGAAGGAATTATTTAACAAAATACGATATTTCTACTATGATGCATTTACACTTTATGCATTTTGCCCGCAGAAAGACAAAAACACTTCGTTTTGTGCACAAAATTCTAAACATGTAAGGGTTGCAGAAAACACTTCCCTGGACAAAATGCACCCAATATGTCACATGAGACATTTTCGTTGAAAACCTCCTTGGATTATAGACTTACCCTTTTAAATAATGCAAAATACCTTGAATTTAATGTCGTTTTGAGTGAAAGGGTTTGGCAAGTGCAAAGATGAAACCTATAACATCTCCAAAACAAACATCTTTATATATGGCACTAAGTAGATCAAATAGCAATGTTTCGATTGCAATCAATATTTACAGCTAACTTACACATGAGAACTTGTCTGTTTGAGCACATTTCTAATGCCCCTGCTGCACTCTTGAGTGAAACATCATTGTCAGTAGTATAGTAAGATCTAGAAAAATGAGGACTACATTATAGTATTTGGCGCAAATAAAAATGAGGAGATGGCATAAATCTTGACCTGAACTTTGCTGTCATCATGTTCTTACATGTGTTCTTCTCCTCTGCAGGACCTCTAAGGACCTCTAGTGGTACAGTTCCACAGAACGCATAAATTCAATCAACACAAGTATGTAAATTATTGCATACTCTGGACACAACATCTCCCCTGTTACCCAAAGTAATTCTTCTACTTTTAGAAACAAGATCTTACTCAAACCCTATTAACAAGTAACCTATTACTCTTTTGACTATAACATAAAAGAAGTATGTCTACTAATTCACCCTGAGTGTAGGCTATAACAGGGGCGTAGGCAGCGGACAAGCTCGTTTATTAGGCTATATAAATATAATATTTGTTAAATAATTATTGTTTAATCTATTTTAACACGATTAGAGAACTATTCTATCATCTCAAATAACTAAAATAAATAAAATGTGTTTTTGCATAATTCTTGATGAGTTTGATTGACAGCAGTGTTAGCCTCCGAGCAACACACAGCGGCATTTCATTTCTTTTAATGCACGTTTTGAACGAATTGTGAATGGTGAACCATTTGGCGCGTTGAACCATTGGCCACCACCACCTACTGGCAGTTTTAGTTTATTATTTAGTGGGCAGAGGTAAAGTAAATAGCCCCTACCGACAAGGCGGCCTATTTGCACTTTGAGTAAAAAGACACTCCATTAATTAAAAGGCACCAGATTACAGAGAATGGCATATACTCCAGTATTTTTTTCTGGGGGAGGACCCACCCACATTTATTTAGCTTCCGACGCCCATGATTTCATTAAAGAAATTTCAGCATTTCTATTCTAATTTTCTGAGAACTATTATAACATCTCTAATAACTAAAATAAATAAAATGTGTTTTTGCATAATTCTTGATGAGTTTGATTGACAGCAGTGTTAGCCTCCGAGCAACACACAGCGGCATTTCATTTCTTTTAATGCACGTTTTGAACGAATTGTGAATGGTGAACCATTTGGCGCGTTGAACCATTGGCCACCACCACCTACTGGCAGTTTTAGTTTATTATTTAGTGGGCAGAGGTAAAGTAAATAGCCCCTACCGACAAGGCGGCCTATTTGCACTTTGAGTAAAAAGACACTCCATTAATTAAAAGGCACCAGATTACAGAGAATGGCATATACTCCAGTATTTTTTTCTGGGGGAGGACCCACCCACATTTATTTAGCTTCCGACGCCCATGATTTCATTAAAGAAATTTCAGCATTTCTATTCTAATTTTCTGAGACACTGAATTTTGGGTTTTCATTATCTGTATCTATATATGTGTTTCACTTTCTGAAATGAGTGACAAAAAATATTGACCTTTTTCATGATATTCTAATTTTTTGAGATGTACCTGTACTTTGGATCAAATAAATGCACGCTTGGTGAACATAAGAGACTTCTTTAAAACATTAAAAATCTTACTGTTCAAAAACTTTTGACTGGTAGGTTATATATATATATATATATATATATATATATTACAGAAATGTTATATTGTAATGTTTACATTACATTTCTGTCCCCCTCACTTCTGAAATGATGGCTACGGCCCTGTCCTGAGCCCATCAATGTCCTGCAAACCACTTTAAAAGGACAATGTGTGTTGAACCATGTGGACTTTTTCAACCTTTTTGATCACCATTTTTCCTTCACTGATTCATTTTAAATGGTGCTACAATGTGGTGAAATAATTTTGCAAATACTTTCAGATGGAGAGTAACATGTCACACTACAGGACGTTTGTTTATTGAACATAATGTTTTATTTATTAGTTATTTTCAGGTGTTACTTACAGTACCAGTTGGTTGAGAATTATGTTAAGAGTTACAAAAAAAAAAATCCAGTATTACTCAAATTTCACAGAATGTTGCTGGAATCTTTTGTGTTGTGTGTATATTAATCATCATTAAGCTGTCGATGATCATTAAGCTGTCTGGCACATACACTGTATATGAACAGAGATCTGAACACTCATAACATTGATAGCGCTTAATTCCCATTAATTCCCTTAATAAAGTCACTCAGATTATTAGTGACTTTTGCTTAAAACAAAACAAAAGTTTGTGTGAGCCAGGGCCATCGCTAGGAATTCTGATTTAGCTATGGTGCGAGTATCAGACTTTTCATATAAGAGTAATTCAGAATTTTTAATCTGTGACATCGAATCATATTTAAAAAAATATACTTTTTGAGAATTGCTTACTCTGAACAAGAACTAAATCGACCAACAGTTCTTAATTGCAAGAACAAAACCAACCAACATTCAAACCTCTTAATAAAGCAATACTGAAAACCATGTGTATTGTGTTGTACATGTGTGCCAGCACCTCCCACAATTCTTCAGGTCATGTGATCTTAACTTTAAAAGTGCAGCACTGTCGTTCTGGGAGTCAGACTGGCTGATTAACACTCCTCTGCACTGATCATCAGCACACTGCAGTAATGACAGAACTTGGACACTGGAGTCCAGTGAAACCGGTCACTCTAGAGGTGATAAAGATTTGCCTTGAGGTATGAGACACAAAATCACTCCTAGAGTAAACACACTGTCTGTTACTAGTGAGCTGTTTTGTCTGTTTTGGAGCTGTAATATTCAGCTGACCCAGCGGTTGGGTTGTTTTGACCCAGCTGTTGGGTTGTTTTGACACAGCGGTTTGGTTGTTTTGACCCAGCTGTTGGGTTGTTTTGACCCAGCTATTGGGTTGTTTTGACACAGCGGTTTGGTTGTTTTGACCCAGCTGTTGGGTTGTTTTGACCCAGCTATTATATATTACATATATATCATTCATACAATGGAACATTGATACAAAAAAATTGTGGATTTAATTGAAAACTAAACAACCCAAAAACAAATAATAAATTTCGTACAAACAACACTAAAAAATGCTGGGTTAAAAAGGGACAAACCCAGCT